TATATTATATTATATTATATTACATTATATTATATTACATTATATTATACTGCACCATACTACGATACGTTATTTCGTAATGTATTATATTGTAATATATCAGAAATGAATTCGATCACGCTATACCACGTTATACTACTTAACGTTGCATACTATAACTACGTTATATTATACATAAATTACTACACTATATTACGTGACGTACTACACTACGCCAAACACTGTAACAGAATTTGGTAAACTAGAGACAACAAGCGCTTAAACCGCTAGGCACCGAGCATACGTTATGATTCGGCATTGTAAAAGTGACCTACTTGACACTGCCTGGCTAAATTCCAACCGACAGCACTTTGAAATTCTTCTGATCGTTAACAGCGCCTTTTCGCCGTTACGCAAATAGTGTACTATAACGAGCCGGGAATTGGTGTCGATAGTCCACTTCGACTGTTTCTATTAAGTCCGAAGTTTCAGGGGGAGACTGTCTTGTATTTTGCTACGACTCTCCCTTTGTCATCTCCTTGCCACTTTTCCGTGCTTTCTGTTTTTGACAGCGATGAGTTTTCGCTGGAAAGTTCACCGCGCAGTAAAAGTCACTCAGCATTTGTTAAGAATTTTTTGAGGAAAGTTTTTTGAAACTATTTTTAGGTGTTACTGTTTGTAGTTTTTTTAAATTATGATCTTGTTTTTTATGCTCATAAGCATTTAAGTGTTCTTCTTTGTGTCTCTTACTGACTGTTGAGAAAAACGCTGGTAAGGTAGGGCGTTTTTAACTGGTTTACCCTAAGAGTTCTAGGACTCTTTTGACGTCTTTTTGCTCGTCGTGTTTATGGCTACAAAACACTTGATGAATTATGCTGGAATCTGATGCTCTTGCTGAGTCACCTATTAGATCGCAATTCAGAGGTTAATAGTTTTTTTCTTAATTCGTAAGTTTTTGTACAACACAAAAAATTCAGCAAGCAGCAAGTAGCCACGACTGCGGCAAGCACAACAACAGCAGACTCTCTACAAATTCTTGATATATATCAAATATTAAGCGAAAAAAATTAGTTAATCACGCGAAGAACGAGTCTCTCTGCATTTACGTATAGTAATTTTCAAAAAAATCAGTACGGATACTGCAGTAAAAGGTTTTACCTATGTTAATAAAGCACTCTGAGGAATCTGGGAGTCTGCATGTAAAAAGTTAAAAAGATCTTTCGTCGTCAACAAACTTAATTTTGGAAAAAACAAGTAACAAAACTACAGTAATGGAAATTAGTTCTAACGTCACATTTCAGCGAATATCTCAACGACGACTGTAAAGATTAATACGGGACATAATATAGGACAGGAAAAAACAGGTTGACATAATTCTGAGAAATCAAAGGTGTCAAAAAATTTGCAGTTTTTTAAAAATAAGCTAGGTAAACACCTCTAAATTCAAAATTAAGTTGACATTTTTATAAGTTGATAACCAGTCGCATCGTTGTGATTTTGGTTCCTTTGCTAAAGAATTTTCACACCATGTTGGAAATAACGCCGCCTGTATATCTTAAAAAGCTAGTAGGTTTAGAGCGGTATGGCAGAGAGATAATGGTTTAGGTTTTTGTGGTACTGATTATGGTTTTGAATATACTAACTCTGCTATGTAGCTATGCTGCAGCTTCTGCGCCTGTATATATATACATTAAAACAATAGCCTTTCTGCACTGCGCTTCTGGTTTTTACTCCGGCAACTTTGTTATGTAGCTGATTTACAGAAAACATTTCTGGGGAAATTCTTTAACGAACAGGGGCTCTGGTGAGGTGGTGGGGATTGATGAAAAACTCCTCAGAAGAAAATACAACAAAGGTAACACTAGAGAGAAACAGGGGTGTTTTGGGCCATTGAGCGAGCAAAGAATAAGTGTTTGGTCATTCCAGCGGAACGGCAAGATGCTGCTATCCTTTCGCCGTTGTTCCAGGAACAAATATAGTGTCCAACCGGTGGGCGGCATACAGTACTATCAGAGGTATGCCAGAGGGGCATCAACATGAGGCTGTTAACAGCAGTCTACACTTCATTGATCCTGAGACCGGCGCTTGCACGAACACAAAAATAATGCGCTGTACCACCTTTGGTAACAAACAGCGAAGTGTCATCTGCTCTCGTAAGGTTTCTTTGAAAATTT